GTGTACACACGCTGGACACTGGCTCATATCAGCCGTACTCGGTTTCCCTGAACTTGTATGATCGTAAAAAAAAAAAGAACAGTTCTTCGAAAACACCCTTTATGGCATATTATGACCCGAATTTAATGTTTAAGGAACAGTTAGTTAAAATGGATTCGTTAAATGACCGATCTCAAAACTGAAAAAAGATTGCCATTTAGTGAAGACTGTTGGATTGTGCAAAGAAGCTCTCGGCTCACTGGCCGGTGATTCCAACGAACCTGTGCTATAGTTTCATCTATTCCGCCCTAACAGACCTCTTCAGAACCTTAAAACATTACTTACGAAAATGTCTTGACACACTGAGCCAAGAAATGTGGCCAGCCACGAGCGTACTAACTACTTATATCTGATTATTTTTGAAGCACAAGTATGTGAATCATTATACCTGCAGACAGTAAAAAGGGATATTTTTCCCCACAAATATCCTATTAGAAGTGTCCAGTTTCCCGAAACATCGCGAAACTGACTCACTAACAGAGGAGCAACACAAAATGACCCTACAAAAGTATGCTTATGAATTAAGCTTTTAAATATGCCTATTTCTACAACTTTTGTTACGAATGTATCTTTCAATCTTTCCACTTAGCCCGCAAGATTACCAAACATGGTCTTTAAGGTTATCCTCGTCGGGGAATCTGCTGTCGGAAAGTCATCCTTGATAGAACGATATTGCAATGATAAGTTGACCTCGACCTATGAGCCGACGCATGGGATCAGCTTCAAAGTGAAGTCTATCATACTAGACGAAGCCCTCTTAGTCATGCAGCTGTGGGATGTTCCGGGTGATTTAAAGTGAGTTTAAACAATGGTCATTTGTGAGGACTCCTTATGGGAAGATTCTTTAAAGTGGCACAATATCCAGCACATCAACTGTGTAATTATCAGTCACATGTAAACTTCCAGACCTATATGCTATTTATAAAATATGAGTGAGGAATTAAAGAAAGTTGGTGCTTAAAGGTGATATGGGATCGTCGCTCCTGAATTTGTGTGCTCAATTCAAATGGAAAGATTCACAAATTTGCCAAGCCCAAATGCCCTTAAATAGTATCTAGCCTCTCCATCAAATAGACACAAACATTATCATATCATAAATGCTGTTTAATACTAGGAAATCCATTGTTATCTGCATGCAGAAGAGGAATTAGGCGGGTCAGATAATAGGTATTTTATGGATGATGATGAAAGCCAGCTTCATCTGATGATCTGTTTCCAAAGTTAACGTTAACTGGTGAATAAAAATGAGATGGCGATAATTTAAAGCAAATCAGGAGATGAAGTTCTTTAATCAAAGATTATTTTCATGCTATGGTTGAAAAAGAAACATTACTAGCCGATTCATTTTAGGCTGCCTTGTCGTAAACTTTGTCTATCCATTAATAGTGACGACCAGTGAGAACTCGAAGCCAATCAGCATTTGATAATGGAGTATAATTTTCAATATTTGCTCCATAAACAGGCAATTTGGCAACAAAATGCTATGCAAATGGATGTAATGGGGAATAAGACACACGAAAACCTACTGCAAGGAGCAAAACCTCCACAAGATTAAACCTATAAAATGCTAGAACATGTTTTTTGATATTATAAATATAGATAATTGTATAATTACAAATGTGAGGACCAAGATTGTGTGGTCCTCCGTATTGTCGCAGTCTCCGTTTGAAGTATATAAGTGGGTTGGCCTCTTTTTCGCAAATTGGTCTTTTTCTCAAAGCGACTTAGTTGAACTTCCACTAGGACTCAAAGGCGGGTTGTACTCTTGGAAACGTGAGGCATATTCATAGGATCGTGAGAAAATTCCAACATCAATCCTCCATCACCTTAAATAAAAATGGGTCAAAATAGCTCTTGTATGAACTTCTTAAGTAGTATGGCTAAAAACATGATCTAATTAATACAAATTGAAGCATAATAATAAATTATATAGAATACTACACTAAAATAGCCTAGCGAATCTCAGAATTATACAAATTTGAAGTTTAACGTCGGGTAAACCTGCTGTAGAGGCTCTGGATTATGATATGCAAAAGCCCATTTAATGATTGATTAAGGGTATAGTTTATGTAGTACATTTCGTAGAATGAATAATTAGCTTAAGTAATGTGACTGTATTCTGTTTGGATTGATGATTATGCAAGCAAGGAGATATTTCATCAAACATTATTTCTCTATTTTCTCGTATCCTGTCTCACGCTTTGATCTTGATGATTATCTGACTTACTGTATAATAACGATCATTGTATTTGTTTGCTTCCTGTATGTGCTTACGATTTGATCTTAAATGTGTAAAGTTATTGCAAATAACTCTTGAAGATAATAAATAATCGTACTTAAAAAATAAATCAAAATTGGTCTCCTGAAAGCCATGCTACTCAAAATTAAGTCACTCTCGAGCAAAGCGAATGAGAAATAAGGAAGTAGATAATGTTTATTTTTTTTATTAATATGCGAGATTTTGTAACTTGGCTTATGTTAGGCTGTGTGAGAAATCATATCCTTTTCTTGTCATTTTATGTTTCTATAACATCGGTTCCAAAAGGGCATATTACAGAAAGCCTTCCGCCTTGGACACAAGTAGCAAAATACCATAAATCATTTGGCCTATTATGCAAACCATATACTTGTTCTCATAATATATATAAATGATTTATATAAAAATAAGGCCCTTTTTACGTAATTTACTTAAAATAACTCTAAGACAGGATAGCAGTTCAGGCGAATTTCACGATGGTTTTACTAAAACGAATAGATGCGAAAAAAAACTATAATTATTTATTAAGATTCTCTATTTAGGCGAGCGCTGAACGCGTTGCGGTCGTATTTTAATCAGGAATCCCCAAATCCTTGATTCTATTTCTAAATTGAATCAATTAGTGTCATCTCATTTTCTTAAACCTTTGAAAATCTGGCTCCTTTTTTCGTTAAAATAGGTTAAATGTGCTCGTAAGACTGATTGGAAGTCCACTATTTTGGACGTCTTGTCGCGATAAAAGGGCTCAATGCGATTAAACTTGTCTCACTTTATCGAAGCATGGCTTAATTTTGCATTTAAGCCAGCATGGCATAGGAAAACACCAGTAAATGCTGCTCCAAGCTAAGGCATATACACTTGAAATGCATCCCACAAAGAAATTCACGACCCTACATGCTGACCATAGAACACGAAACACAAAATTGAAATGTCGTTTTCGCAGAAATTTAGTCAGAACTGTTAGTAAAGTTGTATTTTCCTTGGATCATTTGTCGTCCTTATTAGATTTTATTTTAAAGTTAATCGTGTTCTTTAACGGAAAAAAAACTATAGCTCAAACCACCTGAACAATATTTTTATACTTGGCTGTTAATAGTCAATCGTTTCGAACGAATGCTTTTGATACTGAATTGTATCGTCCGGAAACGAAGGTTAATAGCGTCCAAAGAGGCCAAAATCTTTCGACAAGCGTCTTCCCAGTTTACAGCCAAAGATCACTTTATAGTTTAAAAACAGCTGTTAAAGATTATTGCACAAAGTTCCAGCTCAGACTAGCGCCAGAAACCTTAGTACTGAAGAAATATGGATCAAATTTTAATAAACTTTGATGTTCCTCTCGAACATCCTTACAAAAACTTCAACAAAAAATGCAATCCGTATATTCTTATGGTATGCAAAAGTGATTATATATACGTATTAACTGAGGCTAGCAAAACCAAGAAGAAGTGAGTTCTCCTGTGAAGGCGGTCCCCTCTCGATCTTTAGGGTTGAATGGACCGATTTCAGCAACTGTGTTGCGTTGTCATCGCGACTCAGACTAGCGCACCTGTTCCGGAGTCCTCGGCCACAGGAGTAATGATCATTCCCATCATCTGAACGTGGAATTGGTACTTTCCCAGAAGCGTTGGTCACCATCATGAAGCTCTGCCAACCCTAACGCCAAGGCACAACATGCCAACGGGACAAATGAAATGTATATATTGACCAATCTTTTGGCAAACATATGAAGAAAAGCTGGATTTTGAGCCAACCCTTTCATTTCAAAGCCAAAAATTAGTTGGAGTGAATTCGTTAGTTAGTC